TATATATATATATATATATATATATATATATATATATATATATATATATATATATATATATATTTACATTCATATGGTTACAGTCGTATAATAATTATAGTAATACCTGCAATGATCAATTATTATCATAATTATGGTTATTAATTATTATGATTAACTATGACAATAAAACTACGATGCAATAAAATATATAATATTAATTGTATTTAATCGTTGCGGTACTCTCTTTGTCTAAAGCGTTTTGAAAAGCGTTTACTTTTATTTGTAACAAGTAACCCTGATTTATTAGTTTGAATTTTCAAAACGCATCGGTGAAAAACACTCTTAGGCTGATAAAAATATAACCATCTTGTAAAAAAATGCGGAAACAACTCTTTTCCCGTGCTACCTATTATATCCGACGTTTCAAGGGCTTGTACTAAAAAATCTATAACAAACGACCCAGACAGCACATACATCCGAGGAACGTCCTAAAAATGTCCAAAGGACATCCAAATGACGTCCTACGTCCTAGAGACATCCCAGAGATACCTTTTGGAGATTACTGTTGCCTGGGAAATGAATAATAGATTTAAGGCTCCTGGCCCCTCGCATTGTTTATCTCTTTTTAATGATGTCAGAAGCGAGAAAATGCATGCTAAAAATTCTTGTAAATACGTTAAAATAAAAATATATATCCATAAAGTAACACTTGCAATAGATTAAACAAATTTGTAAGATATTCCATGCACTCCTCTTTTGCTCTAACAATCAATAATTTATTATAAATTAATATGAATAGAAATAGGCGAAGAAATAGGTTAAGAAGATGAATTATGCAAAATGCGTTTCGTCCGAATAGATATATGCAGCATGACTACATATATTTACTCGGATGAAAGCATCTTCATAATTATGAACTTTACTCAGGAGTTTGTTTGATCATATAATTATATGTCACGTCAATTTACGACAAATTATTGATTGTTAGAGGAAAACGGGATTGCACGGAATATCTTACAAATTTGTTTAATCGATTGCAAGTGTTACTTTATGAATATATATTTTTATTTTAACGTATTTCGCAAGAATTTTTAGCATGCATTTTCTCGCTTCTAACGTCATTAAAAAGAGATAGACAATGAGAGAGGCCAGGAGCCTTAATGGAATAATTAGATGTAAGAACGATCAAGATATCGTTCTCGCTCTCGTTGTTATTAGGTGTACAACTTTGCTTCCGTCGTTTTCTTATAGATGGCTTTAGCGGTGGTCGAAATAAATAGATCATAGACGTCATACAATAAACTTGGGCATCTGTCAACATAACCCCATAGAAACATTAGTCGATTTGTGTCTGCATCATAAAGTTATTCTCGATTGAAAATGTCAGTTTACGAGCCAAATTCTCGTCATTTGCGGGAGGTTTTAATTTTCTGCTTCAATATGAAGAAATCTGCGGCTGAGGCTCATCGAATGCTCTCAAATACTTATGGTGAGGCCGCTATTAGTGAAAGAACGTGTTGTGAGTGGTTTCAACGCTTCAAGAACGGATTTGACGTCGAAGACCGGCATAGTGGTGGAAGAGAGAAGGTTTTCGAAGATGCAGAATTGGAGGTATTACTTGATCAAGACTCGTGTCAAAATCAAGAAGAATTGGCACGATCATTGGGAGTGACTCAACAAGCCATTTCAAAACGCCTCAAAGCCACGGGAATGATTCAGAAGTAAGGAAATTGGGTGCTATACGAATTGAAGCCGAGAGATATTGAACGGCGTTTGTTTGCTTGTGAACAGCTGCTTGAAAGGTAAAGACGGAAGGCATTTCTGCATCGCATTGTGACTGGGGACGAAAAATGGGTTCATTACGATAATCCCAAGCGCAGAAAATTATGGGGAGTTCCCGACCATGCTTCCACGTCGACGGCCAAACCGAATATTCACGGCTCCAAGGTCATGCTTTGTATTTGGTGGGACCAGCTCGACGTAGTGTATTATGAGCTGTTAAAACCGACTAAAACAATTGCGATCGGTATCGAACGCAATTGATGCGTTTGAGCCGAGCATTGAAAGACAAACGGCCGCAATACAACAAGAGACACGATAGTGATTTTACAGCATGACAATGCTCGACCCCATGTTGTGAAAGTGGTCAAGACATACTTGGAAACGTTGAAATGAGAAGTCCTACCCCACCCGCCGTATTCTCCAGATGTTGCTCCCTCTGACTATCACTTGTTTCGATCAATGGCATACGGCCTGGCTGACCAGCACTTCCGATTTTATAAAGAAATAAAAAATTGGATCGATTCGTGGATCGCCTCAAAAGATGACCAGTTTTTTCGACGCGGGATTCGTACGCTGCCCGAAAGATGGAAGAAAGTAGTGGCTAGCGATGGACAATACTTTGAATCATAAATGTATAACCAGTTTTTACAATAAAGCCTCGAATTTCGGGAAAAAACGGCGGAAACAAAGTTGTACACCTAATACTTTTTGTTATGTAGTTTTTGTTTTGATAATTTTGTATTGGTTTTTCTTGTTTAGTACTTTTTGTCTTGGTATTTTTTATTTGGTACTTTTTCTTTTAATACTTTTTTTTATATGTATAAGAATTAAATCAAAAAAAAAAGCGAAATCGTATATCATGTCAACATTTTTACGCAGTTGAAAACTTTTGATACAGTATGTTTGATAAGAGCGTGTACGGCAAAACTCAAAAACTTAGGATAATACATAAATTGAAAAAATTTGTACACATTATGCATGATATAGATTGCGATGCTTTATTATTAATAAGTTGTCCAGTCGCCTCCATTATTAATAATTGACTGGCATCTCCGAGGCATACTTTATATTAATTTTACAGCATAATCTTCAGACAAAGATCTCCATATAAATCGAATCTGTCGAATTAACTGCTTGACGGTCCATATTTTCTTTCCTCGGAGCTTAAACTTTATAAGCGCCCAAACATTTTCAA